GGGGGGGGGAGTGTTTACAGCTGCTACTAATTGTGATATCACAATGTTGATCATATCTGGGGTCTTTTAGTCGTCCTGGTGGAGGGACACTCAGGCTGAACATAACAGAGTGAATGCACTGTCACTTCACTTTCTCTGGTTTTTGTTTAGAATAAAGAAGCGCCGCCAGGCTCTTTATTATAACGTTTTGGTTCAGTCCTGTTCTTAGCAATGCTAATTAACCTCAGCCAAGCGGCATGTCTTTTGCTTTGTACTAAAAAGATGCCACTGGCCAGAAAACAAGAGCTTAAATCACTAACTAGGAGCAGAGCGATTTTATTTATTAGTAAAACTGAAATCTATACTCTGATTGGTTTCTCTTGGATTAAGTGAAAAGTCCTAATTAAACCCAATTTCATTAGCGGAACACCATCTGACTGCAGAGAGGCGCCAGTTACTCTTGATAAATTAATGAGGCCCTGACTAATCAGACCAATTTTCCCTTGGTTGGCTCCGATCTGTGCTGGAGCACAAACTCTCGGCGCGTTTATTCAACGGAGCAACGATTTGTTCTGTGATGTAAATCTTCAGAGGTGGAAGTGAGGCTGAGCAGTCTTTGGTTTTAATGCATCAATGGAGAAAATCCTGGACTTCCTTAATTTTCGGTTCAGCTCCAAACGGCCTAGACCAAGGAAACAGCAGAACATTGTTTTCACTTTCATGTTTTAAAGTCCCCCAATAAAAAGAGGACGTTTTATTGGAGATCCGGTCAACAAGGCATCCCTGTTTACGAGGGAATCAGTGGCTTTGAACTGCTGTTTCTCTCTCAGTAAATATATTTTTTTGTGGTCTTCAAAGCGAAGATTTGGAATCGGGGTAAGGGTGAGGGAAGAAACTACAAGTTTAGTTTGCTAACATAATTTTGGGTTTAAAAGGTCACTGCAGTCAAAAAATGTTCATGTTCAATAGGTAAAGACTGAAATATAATGAGAATCCAAGCTACGATCTTTTATGTTGCGTGGTTTTATCCTACACTAGTCCTGCCTGTTCTGCTTCAGCCTGAGGACTATGCCATCAACCCCGCTTTAAAACGAAACAAACAAATCAAATTTGTACAAAGGCAAAAGTGGAATAAGACAACGGGTGAGATTACAATCTGTCCTCCGAAGCCAGAGAAGAGGAAGCCGTCTGCTTGGTTACCCTGCTTGCTGAATTCAGAGAAGAGGCCGAGGCTCGTGATGGACGGCCCCGTGAAGATGACGGCGTTCTTGCCGGAGATGTTCTGGCAGAGCTGCTTGGCCACGAGGCTGTGGAGCTGCGGCTTGTTCTTCAAGGTGGCCAGTCCGTCTGCGCCCTGTCCCTCCTTCAGATGGACGGAGATCTGCACGGTGGGCGGAAACCAGACGGAACGTCAGGTACAGAGCGGCCAAACGCTGAGCTGGTTTCAGCAAAATTCCCATATTGTCGCTTGTTCGTAGAAAGCCTTTTGCAAACAGGGCATTAAATCTGTACATATTAGAAATATAAACTCTGAATTATTAGCAAACAGTTTAATTTTTCCATTCTGCACTGAGTCAAATGGCATTAGTCTGATTATTCCAGATCTACATTAGCTATGGAGCCATGAAGCTGAGTGGAGAGAGTCCCTAATTCTGTGAGGTGCTTGGATATTATTTTGTAGTCCCACAAACGAATGATTGACATTTTTTTCTTTCCTTTTTTTGTTCTCCTGTCCCTGATTTAGATGAAGAATACATCAGTGGAGAATCACGTTGATGTGCAGCAAACTGGTGAAGGAGGAGCTGCTGCCAAATGGCTGCAGTCGGTGTGAATGCTAATGTTTCTTCTCTGAAATGGACGAGTTAATGGAACGTGGCTTTAGCGTGTGAAGCACAGCGCACAAAAGGTACTTTTATTTGAATAAAAGCACAAGAAATCTATGAATAAATAATTTATGTTAACAACTGCTTTCATGTAAGGGAAAAACAATAAATGTTAAAAACAAATGGTTGAATTTCAGCGTATCGACGCTTCTCTTTAAACTAAAGCAACTCTGGCTTGTTTTCCGGGCTAACTAACGAAACGCATGTTGTGTTTGTAGTTAAAATGCTAAATTTGATCTATTTATGGGTTCCTTGTAGTAAATTTACAATGTCGTATTTTTGTAACCTCTCTAATCACGCCAGAAGTGTCGTTTTATTTGTTGGTCAGGTAATTCTCAAATTAAAAAGTGCTTAAAATTATGAGTCCACAGCTAAAACATTCCAACATGCTTGGCTTCACTGCACCTTTCAAGGTGGAAGTATCAGGTTATTGTCTTGAAGACGTGACACCAGACTCTTTCTTCTTTCTGAGGGCGTTTCTGTCTCATAGATGATGAGCCTCGCTCTCGTGCTTCACGTCTTTGAAGAAAGTCTGTGTGCTTACAGGGCAGAAACTCTTTACTTTTTGCTGACCTTAATAAGAATCTCTCGATATTGTTTGTTACATATTGAGTTGAAGTTCTAAATTGAACTACTTTTCATTAGATTTGTTTTTTTTAAAGACAGATTACGTTGACAGGATAAAGCAGGGTTTTTCTATGTGAAACCTCCGATTTCACTGATAAGCTAGTCAAAAAAGGTTTTATGAACCTTACTGTCGCCTAGTAAAGGTGACAGATCTCCATTTTTGAGTTAGATGCCAGTAAAGTGGAGGAGTCCTTATTCCTCCTTACTAAGAGGAGTCGGTTGGACCTTTTGTGTCAAAAATCAACTCCGAAACCGACTGGCACTTTTTAGAAGACACTAGAAGTCTTCATCTTTCAAAAAGAGAGAGAAAAAAAGATTAATCCAAGTTCCTCTGCGTGGCTAACCAGCGAAGGTGTTAAAGATGAAAAAACTTGTGATATAAATCTTCTTCATCACTTTACCTGAACCCAGCTGGTGGGAAGTTCTTAAACACAGATTCCTTTTGATGTCAGGAATGTTTACTGGAAGGTTTTGCGTTATTTTTGCATAATTCTCACATGGAGAGATGAAAATAAAAGAAAAGTGAGATGGGGGGTAAATGCGTGTTTTTCATTTAGTTTGGTAATTTTTCCCAGTAGTTTCCTAAGAAAGCCAAAACCTCACTTTCACTTTCTCACAAAGTCACTGTTTCAAGTTTGACGTTTTGGCTTAACCGAGAGCGCTGTGGTTGGTAATTAATAAAAAATAATCCTAAAAAAAAAAAAAAAAAAAAGGGGCTTCTCTAAAAATAATAAAAAAAAAAATAATAATAATGTGCACACAGCACAGCTTTCAGGAGGGTTGGACCGATCTGACAGTTCTGGTCCTCGGAGGATTCGCGGCGTTACATAAGAGACGAGCGTAGGAGCGGAGGGTTGCGTCGAGGGCAACGCCGTCAGTCAGAACAGCAGCTCTATCTGTGATTGTAATCTGAAGCCAGAAAATACTCCACTCCGCGGCATCAAAAAGGAAACTAACAAACCAGCGTTTTAGCCCAGGAGCCATCTCTCATGCTCACATCCAGTTTTCAAAGCGAATTTTGCAGCCTGTCAACAACATTCCCCACAAAATGAAAAAAAAAAATGTATTAAAGCTGTTTTCCTCTGTCCGGCGCACACAAGGAACGGGTCGAGACAGAGATCTGAGGCGGGCGCGGATCAAAGCCGCTCACGTCTTCATTAAAAGCCTTTCAGATTTCGGCCTGAGTGGAAACTTCGCTCCCTTATTCAATAAGTCGTTTTTTTTTTTTTGCCATTGTGTTTCAAAGCAGAAAATTAAAACGGACCCACATCCTTCCTTGGCTTCTTTCGAAACGTGCCGCAGGTTTTTATTTATTTTGCTCTCAGCCGGCGCCTCTACCTGACAGATGAATCCGGTGGAGGTGCACTGCCGGACCCAGAGGCTGAACTTCCTCTTCTTCCTCTTCCTCAGATCTCTTTCTGTGCAGGTGGTGATAAACACGGGGTCCTCATCTATCAGTGGCTCATGAAGAACCTGGAAGTGCACAGAGGATTCAGTAAACGTTAGCTCGTGTCAAAACATTTCCATGAAACTAAAACCAATATTATTACTCAGGCTTGCAGGAAAAAAAAAAAAAAAAAAAGAAATGTCTTCAATCTGAAGAAATCTGCAGAAAGCAAAATGATGATTTATTTTTAAATTACATCTTAAATCTTTGGTGTTGTGGATTGTGATATAGAGGTGATCTTAAATAATCCACATGCAAGAAAAACATTCCACAAATCAGAAGTCAAACTGAGCACTGTGCTGCTTTGAAACCCCAACTAGAGCGATGCTAATGTTATGAAACACTGCGTCAAATCTAGAGAGTCTTAAAAAGCATGAAATTTTTATCATGGAGACGTGTTAAAGACGCCGTAGCGCAGAAGGTGCTACTGGAGTAACAGGCTGGCTGTCAGTGTGGAAAACTAGACAGAGTACAGCCATTTGAAGAGTAGTTTGTGTTTGAGTGGGATAATGATAAAAAAAAAATGTTTTCAGCAGAAAATTTAAAAAAAAAACACCTTCTGGTTCGCAACTTTTGCTTTTTAATCACCACTGACACTTTCCCCCACCCCCTACTGTTTAGATGCATTATAAATGTAGAAATTGCCAAATCTCATGACACTGAATATAGCAGCTGATAAGGATTGACTTTATTGTTGGTCGAGTAGCTAAAGTTAAACTTTGCATCTGACTTTTCACGATACATTTTACAAAAACAAAACTGGTTAGCTGTCAACAATCTTTCCTGATTAACTTAAATCATTTTAGACAGAACTAATTCACAGCAATGTAATCTCATGTGATCCCTTCACAAGACAAACAGATATCCACCTATATGCAATAATATAATATTAGTCCAATCATTTATATTGTGTTGGACTCAGTTAGATATAATCGCCATGTTTTTGGACCGTCAGAGGAAGCCGGAGCACCCCGACAGAAACCGTGTACACACAAAGAGAATATGCTAAACAGCAGAAGTTTAGGTTTGTTAGTTTAAAAAAAGATGTCTTTTTATAAGGTGTGTGTAAATATTATGTTTCCTGCGGTTTCTCTGTTGTCTTTTCTGCATGCTGAATCTGACTAACGCTGAAGGGAGCTGTGACTGTAAGCTCAGTTCTGCTCTGCCGTCAAACAGGACATTTCCTAGTCAAATATGAGTTTATTGTTTCATGAAAAAATAATGAAGCTTTCCAGCCTCTCGCTGAATGACTTCATCCAAACCTCAGATCTCCCCGTGGGCTTAGAGTCCAACCCGTAATGACCCAAGGCTTTGTTTCAAACAAACAAGTCCTTAGTTAAATCTTTACTGCTCAGCCTCTGAAGAAACAACAACAACAACAACAACAAATTATTTACTATCGGTGAGAATAAATATAAGGAAACAATATTGTGTTTCTCTTTTTCTAACCCCCCCAAAAACACTTGCATATCAGACACTGGATCCATGAGGAGACCATTAGTGGGAAGAGGTTTAAACTAACAACAAAAAGAAAACAGGACAATACAGTTACTAAGAAAAGTCTGTTTCTCCATTAAATGTGTAAACTATTGTTTGACAAAGCAACAGTTTCACTCTGTGCTTCTCTCGGTGTCTGCACCCACTCTGTCCCTGGCACAGTCAACTATCAGATAAAATAAACTGTCCTGGATGCACACACACACACACACACACACACACACACACACACACACACACACACACACACACACACACACACACACACACACACAC